TCACAAGGCTCCATCTTAGGTCCTGTGCTCTTCAATGTCTTCATAAATGACTTGGATATGGGATTGGTAGGGATACTAAACAAGTCTGCAGATGACACAAAACTGGGAGGAGCTGTTGACTCCTTCAAAGGCCAAGAGGCCCTGCAGAGAGACTTAGACAAATTAGAGGGCTGGGCAATTACCAACCATATGAAGTTCAACAAGAGAAAGTACTGGATCCTGCACCTGGAATGGGGTAATCCTGAATGTATGGACAATCTGGGGAATGAGATGCTGGAAAGCATTGCCATGGAAAGGGACCAGGGGGTCCTGGTCGATGGTAAGTTGAATATGAGTCAGCAGTGCCCTGGCAGCCAGGAGGGCCAACTGTGTCCTGGAGACATCAGGTAAACCTTTGCCAACCAGTCAAGGAACGTGATTTTCCCTCTCTGTTCTGCACTAGTGTGGCCTCACCTTGAATATTGTGTGTAGATTTTGGCACCACAATATAAGAAAGACATTAAGCTATTAGAGAGCATCCAAAGGAGGGCAACAGAGACAGTGAAGGGCCTTGAAGGAGGATGCATCTGAGGAGCATCTGAGGTCACTTGGTCTGTTCATTCTGAAAGAGACTGAGGGGACACCTCATCACAGTCTACAACTTCCTTGCGAGTGGAAGAGGAAAGAGGGGCAGGCACTGATCCCTCTCTATGGTGACCAGTGATAATACAAGAGGGAATGGTCTGAAGTTGTGTCAGGAGAGGTTTGGGTTGGATATTAGAAAAATGTTCTTCCTCCAGGGGTTGGTTGGGCACTGGAACAGGCTCCCTAGGGATGTGGTCACAGCACCAAGCCTGTCTGAGTTCAGGAAGTGTTTGGATGATACTCTCAGGCATATGGTGTGACTTTCGTGTTAGTCCTGTGGAGGGTGAGGAGTTGGACTCAATCCTTGTGGGTCCCTTCCAACTCAACATATTCTGTGATTCCTTGATTTGGGATTCTTAATCTATGTATTGCCACACTCCTGTTTTTATAAAGGTGTGAAGCAAACTCTGATGACATTTTAATAATAAATACATATAGTAACCTCTGTAGAGACTAATTTCCTCACCCTCATCTTTATTTTTAAAATCAAATTGAATTAAGTGAAAGGTAACTGCTTAAGTAGATTTTTATGCCCCACTCATCACCAAATTATCCGATCACATGTTGCTTACTAAATGATATGATGCCTTTCTGTGATACATAGATTGATTTTCAGGGGTTTGGATGATAATTTATGTATGTGCATTTATATTAGTGCATGCTTGCACTACATAAGAAATATTTTGTGGAGAATGAAGAAATAAGGTTCATCAGTTTCATTCAGAAATAAGGTTTCATTTCAGAAATAAGGTTTCATTCAGTTTCTAGGGACTCTCTGATCACACTCTGAGAAATTACTTTCAGCTTGATTTCACAGCATCACTGAGGTTGGAAAGAACCTCCATAGATTATCTAGTCCAATCCTCTGCTCAAAGTAGAATCTTCTAGAGCAGGTTGCTCAGAACATTGTCTGCTCAGGTTTTGAAGATCTTCACAGGTGGAGACTAACTGTCTTTCTGGGCAACCCACTCCAGGAGACTTTGATTACAGAATTCTGTACAACAAAGTTATATTCTAACTACTTAGCAGAAGATGTGAAATTAGAAAACTATAAAATCCAAAATTATAAAATATTGGTTTTAAACCCAACGTACTTTTTTTTTCCCATTTTTCATTCTAAGAAGTACTTCATGTACATTTCTACCAGCACTTCTTACTAGTACGTGAAACTCTGTTAGGAGATGCAACTAGGAATGATAGTTTGCCAAATATAAACTGTGTATTAGATGTGTGACATTTGTCACAGCTGAGGAATCTTCAGCACAAACCTCTTGACCTTCTCTCTTTCATTATAGTGCGCAAAATAGTTACATTTTTATGGGTCATATATGTATGGACTACTGCCTTAGATTGAGTTGGAGAAGAGGAATTTGACACAGCCCTTAAAAATGGCATGTTTAGTGAGTTTTGAGGGAGGAAATTTGATGTCATGTAGGAAGGTAAGTAGGAGTTCAGGATATTATTTGGCATGGAGTTATTCAATAGCTTTTTTGTTCAAAGATGGACAAAAATGATTTTGGCAGTAGAAGGAATCAAGAAAAAGAGCACGGGAAGAAACAAAGAGGGAGACACAGTCTTCCTGTCCCTTGAGAGTTATCTTGTCATTTAAAACCCAAGGGTGAATAAAGCTTAGTGTTTGTGACTTTGAACAGTAACACTGTCATTCTGAAATAACAAAATAAAATATTTTAAACTAGATGTCAGTGAGGTATTCTTCAGCATTTTATATTGATATCTTTGAAAAAAAATGAGAGATGCTTGCTGCAAATTAGAATGTGTGCTATGCAGTTTCTAAGTATCTAGTCTATATTTCTGTCTTATTATCTCCCCAGTCCAAAAGATGTCTTCTTTTAGGCTTGCAAAACAAAAAAGACCCATCAAGTAGACCTGTGCTATATGCTTCAAATTAAATAAAAAAGAGAAAGAATTAATTTTCCCTCATTACTTCTCTGTGGCACATAATCCATGATAGAGTTTTCCATTGATTTGGCAATGCCTTTTGATAAGTTCTAATTACAAAGAATTTTTATACAACACTGAAATGCTAATAACAAGACACATTTAAGTGTTTGCCTAATTATTTTCCTTTTGTTTCATTTGAAAATGTCTTGATTTTAAAATTATAATAGTATTTGTTTTCAGGATGCATTCTTACCATATGCTATGAGAACTGTTTTAGAAAATGTGATAAGTTTATGATGTAAAACTTCATTTATCCAGCTAATTCTTCAGCAAACTAACGACATCAACATTTCATTTGCTATTATATTTTAATATGGAAGTGTTTTCTTTTCTGGTTTCTGAGTTTGTTGACACAATCGACCCAAAGTGCCTAAGTGTGCGATAAGGAACATTGTGCTGCCAGCAGAGTAATGCTGACCCTGTCCCTTATTCAGTCTTGATTTACTGGCAACATCATTAAAGTTGCTACAAGCAAGTGAACTGCAGTGATACTGAAAGACAGAGGAAGCAGTATCTTGACCTTTTAATTAATTTCATGAACAGAGGATACAATTGCACTAATAATGGAGTTTTATTTAGTGATAATTCAAAAGTTGAAAGGAAAAAATTCCTTCAACAATTTGATTTTGTTGACTATTTAACATATCTTCTTTAAGAAAATCAAAGCCTAGTTAAGTTGAACATTATTTCACAAACACAGGTATGCATATGCAAAAAGAAAGTACATTGTTTTTGCTTAGCACCTACTCCTGCATTAATGGAGATTTTTGAATGGGCAGTGTAGCTCAAATGTATGCAGACCGATCCTCAATTCATAATCCAGACTTGCTACAGTTGGATCTCTCACTGCTTAAAGCTCAGCTCTGCAACAATTATATTAAAATGTCACACATTGTGTGAACATGGTAACTTAACATTAAAGGTACAGATAAACTTAGTTGTGTCTTGCACTGCTTATTGAGACATGATCTAAAGTTGACTAAGCTGCTTTCACCTCTATGTATATTATGTAATTTTCCTTTAAATGCCCCATCTATTTATGACCACTAAAAATAGGGGGGAAAAAAAATCATGGCAATACAAAGAAAAAATGAGTTTTACAGAATCAACTGGGTTGGAAAAGACTTCTGAGATCATCAAGTTCAATTCTTGTCAACCAGACCATGGCCCTAAATGCCATGTCCAGTTCTTTCTTGAACACCTCCAGGGATGATGATTTCAGCACCTCTCTGGTCAGTCCCTCCCAGTGTTTAATCGCCCTTTCAGTGAAGAAATTCCTCCTGATGTTCAACTTGAATATCCCCTGGCAGAGCTTGAGGGTCTGTCCTTTCATCCTGTCACTAGTTGCCTGGGAGAAGAGGCTCTCCCCCTTCTTGCTATGCCCTCCTTTCAGGCAGTTGTAGAGTGATAAGGTTCCCCCCAAGAGTCCTTTTCTCCAGGCTAAACAACTCCAGCTCCCTCAGACGTTCCTCATATGACTTACTCTCTAGACCCTTTGTTGCCCTTCTCTGGACATGCTTCAGCATCTCAATGCCTTTCTTGAAGTGAGGGGCCCAGAACTGGACACAGTACTTGAGATGTGGCCTCACCAGTGCCAAGTAAAGGGGGAGAATATTTTAGAATATTAATTTGGGGAAAGATTGTATGCTGGTATTTCAGCTCTTTCTGGTCCAGTGTAAGAAATTCTGTAGAATTTTCAGATTGAATCATATTTCTTTCAACATTCTTTTACAACTGAGAATAGTCTTTGATGTTTCATCTTCTCAAATCCATCAGAAAATTCTTCTGTAACTAAGTAAATGTAACACATCTCTTTCTGAGTAGCAAGGCTGGAAAGCAAGCTTTTTTTTTTTTTTTTTCCTAAAGAAGAAATGAATCAAAGTTATGCAGATAAACTAATCAATCTGTGTGTAATTAGAAAGTTTTAAATGGCCTGCCAACACAAAATTCTCCAGCATTCAGTTTCAGTAAAGTCCAAGATGTAAATGGCAAGGAATAAGAACAATTCTACACAAACATAGAATGTATAAAACTGTAGCTAGGTGAGTAACAGTCATCAACAACGACAATTTTGGATCCATTTGTAGGAAGAGATGAGGTGAGATGACAGTGAGGCGAATTTAAGAAAAAAAAAAAAACACACGAAACCTAATTCTTTTGGAAACATCATAATATTTCATCTCACTTTTAAAAACATATCAATCACAATGATAGAATTGAGGGGGGAAGCAGCTTGATCCACTTAAAACAGTTCAGAGTATCTGATCATTCTTCTGCTTTGTGTTCCTTGCTGATGCAAAGTTTTAGAGCAGTTTTTTGTCCAAAGTGCTTGAGCAGAGTTTATTGAGCCCAGAATTCTCCTGAAGTGAGAAGAGGGGAGGCTTGAGGCAGAGGAAAAGAACTTGGTTTTATTGATCTATTGTATAAAAGTAGCTGGGACAAAAAGTCTTCCTTTGGTGGATTCAGCTTTTCACTTCCAAAACTTTTGCTGATCTTGCCCTTGACATGTTCACCTTTTGTAACTTCTGACTCCTTCCATTTGGCTCCTTTCCTCCAGGTCAGTTCTCATGCATTCCTGCTCTGCTCTCATCTGCTTCCTCTTCAGACACCTACAAGATACCAATTCTTGCTGCACCTGTACAAACAAGGGGATGTCAGCTCTTCCTGCCCCTCAAATCCCCTCAGAAAATGTAAGGCAAATCTTCAGGTTCAGTAACTAGGATTTTTAATAATACACCACTCCTAGGAAAATGGATTTCGGGTGAAAGATAGTCAATGTTGCATCTACAGAATAGGCCATATAGTGACCCCTAAATAAATTTTAACATAGTTTTATGCATTGTACCTACTGACATATTAATCTGATCATTTTCAAAAGGATAACCTTGTAACAAACTACATCAGGTTCCATTATACTGCTGTTCTTTTTCACCTAGACCATTGAAAAAGTAACAAGTGCAAAGAGACTGGCTCTTACATAAAAAGATGAGAAGGTGTGATACTGTGCTCCCCCACCCTGCTTCTGCTTAAGCAACAGCTGCTCGTCCTGATGGCTGCGCCTGGCTGAAGTTGGACTCTGGAGAGAAAGATAACACAATAACTAAGGGCTATAAATCTTACTCAGCTTCTGAGGGCTAGTTGAGCAAGCGCCATCCAAAATATGACCGGTGTGCAAATGTGACTATAAGTCAGTCATCTTTCTCCATAAATAGTGAACAGCCCAGAGCCCACTGAGCTCTCTTGCATGGTGGCAGGCTGCGTGCCAGGATCTTCCCTTGAGTAGGGATACCTCTTATTGTGTCAGTTACTGAATAAATTACTTGGGAATAAGTGCAGTGAAAATTTGAAATCTTAGCAAAGTTATATAAAGGATGCATAATCTTTAGATGTAAACTGTTGTCAAAGTTGGCACTAAGTCTGATTCAGCCGCACCTAGACTCCACTCTGGGAAGGAGTTTAGAACTAAAGGGTGTCCTTTCTGAACCTCATGCCTCATCAGGATGGTCTCCCTAACAGTTTTGTCTTCTATGCAGTAAATAATCAAGTGTACCTTTCCATGGAATCTTGTTAAACCATTATCCAATTTGCCACTGAACTCTGTTAACTCAGTGTCTGATATCTTTAAAATACATTGTAGCTTCTCTCTGGTAAAATGCGTCACTGTTTCCATGACAGAAAGGGATTGTATAACTTCTCAAACAACAGTTCAGAGATAGGCCAGAGACAGGTAAATCTACAACATATCTCAGTCCCGAGGTTGAGCTGAAATGGGATCTTGGGCCCATGGGCAGAGGTGCAGGGAGGCTGAAGGCGAGGGTAGTCGTAGTCAATAAAGCCTGTTAGACACCACAGGACCCTGAGAGTTTCTAGGGAAAGCAAAAAAACAAATAACCCCAAAAGAAAACAATCAAAAATCAAATAGTTCTTTCAATGCAGAAGATGCCATTTCCATATCAAATTACCTTAGCATAGCCACTATTGCCCCATTTTTCCTAAATCACCACCTTTTTCTGTGCAAAAAACAAGGAGGAAAGCAGATGTGCTGGGGGCAGGGACAAGGAGGGAATGCATGGACCATGTACTTCGTCTCTTTTGTCAGAGCATGACTTAGCTTTACTGGCTTCTACCTTTGCAGGATGGGAGTTTTAGTTTCACAAGAAGGGACTACATAGCCAAATTTTCCATGTCTTTTTCCTTAATGTGGTTTTATGGAGTAAATATGAAGTTCAGAGAACCTAGTAGCAATGATAACAAATGAGTGGACTTCAGAAAGGGCTCATCTACAATGAATTCATTAGGTAAAGAACCTCTTACCTTCTCTGGCTAATTCAGATCATAGGGGTCATTGGGCTTGAAATAAGTTGCAAAGGAAATATCTCATAGAATTGCATTATAACAGTGACAATTTTGGAGAGATTAGATTATGCTTGAGAGAACAGAACTTAATCTTTGTTCCCATAAAAGTTTTTCTCCTCCAAAAAGTTAAACCTTTTTGGTCTGTGTCTTTACACTGTCCATCTTATCTTACACTCAGTAAAACTAGAAATCAGGAACTACTCTTCTCTTTTTGTCACTCCTTTGACATTCAAAGATTGTATCTAATGACCCTACCTTGTCCTCCCTGACTAAATTCTGAGGTCTGACCTCACAGCTGATCCTTCTGTGAGCAGGAGGTTCAACCAAAGAACTTCAGTGGGG